CTCTCTCATTTCATACTTCAGGCAATGTACTTGTCTCACTAATTCTTGATTTCCTCTTCTGTAAAATAGGTATAATACTGGTACTTGTCTTTTAGGATTGTTGAGAAGATGAATGAAGTCAGTGCATTTAAAGGACATAGACAACAAAGGATTGGTCTTTATTGGGACACAGGTAACCTGTCTTAGACCACTGATTATTTTCGAGTTGGAGAAAAAATTAGCTTTACACCACATATATGGAAGATAAAATTTCTTAATTACTCCCAGGGGTTGTGTTTTGTTACTTAGACATTTGTTTTTTGTTGGGACTGAAGTCTGAACTCAGGGCTTCACACTTGTAAAACAAGTGCTCTACTTTTTGGTCTGGTTATTTTGGAGATGGGGGTCTTGAAGCTATTTGTACAGGTTGGCCTTGAACTGTAACCCTCTCGGTTTCTGCCTCAAGTATTTTAGGATTACAGGTGTGAGCCATCAGTACCCGGTTGGTACTTAGACATTTTAAGAAATGGAAATTTTATAATTGTTTCTGGGCGATCTTTTAAGATAGTGTTTCTGAAAATTATATACATTTTATGATTTCTTGATTTTGATTGTCATTTCAGTTGTCTTTCAAGCAATATTTTTAAAAGTATACAACCAATTAGTCAGCTAATTCCCATGTTTTCTATAACATGGGTGTTTTTTAAATTAGGGTGTAAATGAATATGTAGGATTATTCAAAATGAAATAGCATATTACTGTATCTTTACTAGCATGACATTATTCTGTAATTTGGAGAAAATTAATGGTGTTGCTTAAAATTTATATCCTCAGCAATGCATTTTAGATGTTCATTAATTCATTAAACTTTATGGCCATCTTATTACTCTGTTTTTTACACATTAATTGCTAGTAATGTCTTGCTTCCAAAAATGGTATTTTTTCTTGAGGTGTTAGTGTGATTGGTGCAGTCTTCTTAGTCAGATCACTTAGGGTTAAAAAAATCAAATGAATTACTATACTTGATCTTAGCCCTAAGGCAGAGAAGTGATAAATTGCATTATTCTCTTTAAGTAGTTCTACATATCTTTTTTGGGGGGGGAAGTCTTGGCAAATTAAATGACATGTTAGAAAGAACCCAGTTGAGGACTCAGGGTCCTGCCTCTTCAAGCTCTGTAGAATATAGTATTCACTACTCCTCCTAGGGCATCAGAACACCAGTGAGATTTCCCACACAAGGCAAAACCAATAAAGTCCATGTCAAAATCTGTTTTCGGAGTCACTCCTTTCCATCAGATTTCTTTAGATAAAGGATGGTTTGAGTTTTGTTATTTTTTTAGGCTACAGCAGAGACTTTTTTGATTAGACTTTTTTAGATGCCTAAGGGGGTGTGGAGGGATATAAAAAAGTTGTTCTTATAGACACGGAGACAGGAATAGTAGCTACTAGAGATGGGAGGATAGAGGGAAGGAGATGAAAAAAGGTTAGTCGATGGGTAGTTACAATTAGATAGGAGGAAAAAGTTCTGATGTCCTGTTATTAAATAGGGTAACTATAGGTTGCAATAATATTTTTCATGTGTTGAAATAACTACAAAAGGGGATTTTGAATGGTCTTACCACAAACAAATGGTGAGTGTTTGAGGTAATGGCTATGCTATTATCCATTGAAACATAATCCATTACTTCAAAATATCAGTTTTTTGGCACAAAGATATGAGAGCAGTTTCTTATATAAGGAGAACAAGAAGAACTGGCCACTTTCTCTTGATAATTTTAAACAAGAATTAAGCCTAAAAGCAGTCTATTCATGTTTTGTCATCATTAGAATATAAATAAGCACAGTCAAGTTATTTCTTTAACATCACATTGAGGCATGTGATTTACTTTTTGGTACATTTAGCTTTATTAGGATGATATGTTGTTAAAGAATTCTGTTAATTATAATGTGCTCCATAAGAGGTTTTTCCTAATTCCATTATGCAGGTTTTGATTGTGTTGAATTTACAGACAGTACTCAAACTTTAAAGCTCCAGACACAGATTAGAAAATATGCATATTTTTCATTTCTTCCTTTTCAAAATAGATTTCAACTTTATAGTTTAACTATGATGTCTTTTATGTTATGGTTTCTTATTTCTTCTCTGATAGATTCTACTATTTTCTGTCATATTTAATACTAGAAAGTTAAAGTTATTTTTGTCTTCAATTTTCTTTTTCTTAGTTTTCCACATACATATTAATTAAATTAATTAATTCTAAATGAAACATGTTCCTACTTGTATATATAATTCAGAGAGTTGAAATCATACATTTTTCTGGCCTAATGTAGTCATTTTAATTTAATTTCTTTCATCTATTGCCATTCCTCTGCTACCTGCTAATCTATATGTGCCACAAACACTACTCATGGCTGCAGCAACTGTAGTGTTGCTTTCTGTGAGATAAATCACCAACTATCTGTGTTCTGGTAGCAGAGATGACATCTCATCATTCTGTGTCATAACTTCCCAATTTTAAATTTGAGATAGCAATGACTTATTTTTTGAGACTAAATTAATTGGAGAATAAGAATGAACATATATGTAAAGTTGATAGGATTACAAAACAGGATACAGTATTGGTTGGTCATTTATCTGCAAAGTTCCTTTCACTTTCTGATTTTGAGAAATAGAGAATAAATATCTTTGCACTTAACTTAAAGCAAGAACAAACTGCTACTTCCGTATTATTTTGTCCATGGTTTTTGATTTTTTCCCCTGTAGAATGCTGAGGATTCTGGTTCATTTTCTTAAAGTATAACCCCAAAATTTCCCAGCCAAATATAATTTTCTTTAGCCTCCCTCTGTCTCCTTCCTGTTTCTAGTACCTCATAAAATCATTAACATGCAACTTTTCTTTATCCAATCATAAAACCTTTAAAATATTGAATGTGTAAGACTTAATACTAATTCTATGTGTTACTATACTTGGCAATTTGCTTTGTCTTGCTCTTTGCTCTTCAGAAAAGTTGAATACCCTATACAAACTCTCATTTTGCTATTTATAGTCACTTTCCTTGGGGTATTAAAGCACACTTGGTTACAACTAGCCCTTTAGGTTGCTTATTTTGTGCACTAATATGATATCTCCACTTTAAACGTAAACATCCTTTACTCATTGTTCTACATGTGTTTAATTTTTTCATTGTCTTTTCTCCTGGTAGTAGAAATAACAAATGTGAAGGTATCTGAATGAACTTTTAAAACTTTTTCCAGTCATGCTCATCAATATTATTTAATATTTTCCCCATAGACATCTGTGAAGTAGACAAGATGGATGTGATATTCCCATTTTGCAGGTTCGTTTATTTATGAAATACCTTTTAATTGAGAGGTTCCAAGTCAGACATTGAATGATTTTGGTTATGTCAATGATAGCTATACAGTGAGCAAACTCCAAAATTGAGTTAACTTAGCAAAATAAAAGTTTGTTTCTTTTTTAAATAGGTGCTTATGACAGGTGGCAGGATGGGGAGGATGGGAGTAAAGGGGAGTTGAACGCTTGCCATTCAGGAATCCAGCCAGTTAGAGGTCTGACTTCTCATCATCTGAGAACTGGAGGTATGATTCAAGTAATAGAACACCTGATTTGCAAGTGTGAAGCCCTGAGTTTAAACTGTAGTCCCCCCACCCAAAAAAATTGCTAGGTGCCAGTGGCTCAAGCCTGTAATCCTAGCAACTTGGGAGACAGATATTAGCAGGATCATAGTTCGATGCCCATCTGGACAAATAGTTTGCAAGACACTATGTTGAAAATACCCAATACAAAAAAACGGGCTGGCAGAGTGACTAAGTGGTAGAACGTCTGCCTAACAAGTGGAAGTCCCCTAGTCAAACTCCAGTACTACCAAAAATAAATAAATAAATAAGAAAAAGAAAACACCTGAGAGAAGTTAGAAGGTAAAACTACTCATCACCACTTAAACCAGAAAATTGACACAATCATTTGTCCTCTCATTGGTGAGATGGGCACGTGCATGCTGGGAAATGTGACTTGTGGCTTGGAAGACTTGCAACAGCCTTTTTTATGGAAGGGGAGAACAAGTCCAGGGGAATAGTCAACCTCCTCTACCCTAGGTAATGTATCTAGTTAGCACAAAGCAAGGACTATCTGCAAGAGGGTTTTTTCCCATCATATCTCAATTTCTGGATGAGAGTTTTTCCTCCTTTTGTTTTCAGAGATTTTGAGGCCCAATTTCTGATACCATGATAAAACAACTCTTTTTTAAAAAAAACCTCACAATCCTTAATATTAAAGGGCTTATATATTTCCTTTCCTTTTAAAATTTGATTAGATGTGGATTTGATGAAAGAGTATGAGAACACACTTCTGCTGCTTTTTTATACCTGTTTAATGAAAAATGCTTTTTCTGGATTTTGGGGCCACCCCATGATTTCTTGTGATGTAATGACTTTATGCTGCCAGTGGTTGCCCCTGGGCATACTCCATGTGTGTTTATGAAGATCTGTTTTTGTTCCAGTTTGTGAATACTCAGTTGCTCTATGGTTGTTGGGAATGAGAGTATATTTTATATCTTGTGTTATTTGGGGCTCTCCGGAGAGACAGAATCAACCAGATGGATAGATGGATAGAAGAATGAATAGATGGATAGCTAGCTAGCTAGCCTGATAGGCAGACAGAGGGATAGATGGCTAATAGACAGACAGATGTTCTTTGAGTTATGGTGGGACTAAATTCTGATAAACCCATTGCAAATAAAAACAATTCAAAAATGCATTAAATTTTCTGATACACTTGTAATGATGTCAAAGAATCATAAGTTGAACTATTCTAGGTGGGGGTTTGCATGATAGATAGATAGATGAAAGAAGATTTACTAGAGGAATTGATTTGGACAGTTACAGAAACTGAAAAGTTCCTAAGTAAGCTGTCTATAAGCTGAAGACCCTGAGATGCCTGTAGCATGGCTCAGTTCAAAAATAAAATATGTCAAAAGCATAATTCTCAGACTGAGGCTCAATGCCGGAGAGTCCCGGGAGCTGCTGGTACAAATCTCAGATTCCAAAGTCTGAAAAACTTAGAAAAAGTTTTCTTTCTGTAGAGGACAGAGGGACTCCCCCATTCTTCCACCTGTTTGTTCCATCCATGCCCCCAGCTGATTGTAGATGTCCACCCACAATGAGGGTAAGTTTTCTTCATTCTGTCCACCAAGTCACATGCCAGTTTCCTCTGAAAACATCCTCATAAACAGTCCTGGAAACAATGCTTCATCAGCCACGTAGGCATTCCTCAATCCAGTTAATTCAAAATTAGCTCTCATAAAACTACAACCCATTGTTGGACTCTTTCCAATAGTTGATATAATTTATTTGTGGAGGCAATTCTGTTATGTCCACAAATTATTGTAACCTAGTTTTTAGTGCCTTTCTTTAAAATAATGCAAAATTTGTCTATTAACAGATTATTTTCTTATATTTCTCACATCACCTTCAAAACCTTGACATCTCTTAGGCTTTTGGTATTTCCTGTCATATACTGAATGGGTTTCTTTTGTTGTGTCTTAACAGCCTTTGATGAGCACCTTAGGTATAGCAATTATATTTTTCTCCAGAGAACTTAATTCCTTCTCCCTCTGGTTCATTATTGTAGTATTTTTTTGGAAATTACTTGTGGCATATCCTAACTTGTGGCAGAGCCTAACCTGATTAGGTGAGCTGTTAACCTTTTTTAAAGTTACTCTTACACATTTTCTTGATAATATCACAAATTATTGTGATAAACTGATTTACAATTTATAAAATTTAATCTTGTTTTATAAATGTAATACAGAAAGTGACTGTGAGTTGTGAAAGAAATGTCAATAGATGTATGTATTTTTCCTATTTTGTTAGAAACTGAAAGAAACTCTTGAATGGTTCCTGCTCTTCGTTCTCGTTCATCCTGACATAGAGTCCACTGATTCTCACTTTTGTGTCCTACTGGGGTATTCTTCTCCATTTAAATCTTAACTGAGATTTTTGTTGAAGACCAAGCTCAATCAGTAAGAAAAAAAAATTTGAACCTACCTGAGATCTATCTCCTACTGAAAATTTTAATGATTTTTGTCATTGATGAAATGCCAGTGAAATAATGGATTTTCTTCCTAATTCAAGAAGTTGTTATGATTCAGGCTCTGGGTAAGTTTTTCTCCCTGGCACAAATTCCCAATGTATAATTATCATAAGAGTTGTATTCCTGATTCTGGGAAAATCCCTCTGCAGAGGATTACATTGGAGTACAATCTAGGCTAAGTATTTTTTGTTATTTGATTCTTTTTCTTGTATGTATTAAAACAACACTATCTAGAATGTGCATGTATACATATGTTTAAATGTATGCTTTATTTTTCTCAACTTTATTGAGGTAAAATCAACAAATAAAAATTTTTAATAAGTATATACTATGATGTTTTGATATATGTATACATTGTTATAGCTAATTAACATATTCATCAACTCACAGAGTTATGCTTTCCTTTGTACTAGGAACATTTAAGATCTCTCTGTGTGTGTGTGTAGTTACCATGAGGTTTACATAAACTGTCTAGTTACAGTAATAGCCTGATACCAACTTAATCTTGACTACATTTTAAGCTGATACCAACTTAATCTTGACTACATAGAAAACCTCCACACTTTAGGTGGCATTGATGTCATAATTTATACCTTTTAATATTGTGTATCCATTAATAGATTATCATAGCTATAGTTATTTTTACTACTCTTGTCTTTTATGCTAGTTAAAAGTGGTTTATGAACAATAATTACAGTATTATAGTATTCTGAATTTTAATACAATTTTACTGAATATACAGGAGGTATTATTTTTATATGTTTTCATGTTGTTACTGTCCTCTTGTTTCAAATGAAATAACTTCCCTTAGCAGTTTTTTAAGGCAAATATAGTGGTGAATTCCCTTAGGTTTTTTTTTTTTTTGGTGGTACTAGAATCAGGGTCTACACCTTGAGCCACTCCACCAGCCCATTTTTGTGGTAGTTTTTGTTTTTTGTTTTTTTTTTTTGAGATAGGATCTCATGAATTATTTGCCCTGGCTGGCTTCAAACTGTGATCCTCCTGATCTCTGCCTCCCAAGTGGCTAGGATTATAGGCATGGGCCACCGAAGCCTGGCAAATTTCCTTAATTTTTGTTTTTCTTGGAAAGTCTTTATATCTACCTCATTTTTGATAAAAGAGCTCTGCCAGCAGTATTTTTAATGATACTTTTTTTTCTTTCAGCACTTTATATCATCATACTCTCTCCTGGCCTGCAAGGTTTTGCCTGAGAAATTTACAGATTGTCTTTTAGGAGTTCTGTTGTATGTGATGAGTTATTTTTCTCTTGATGCTTTCAAAATTCTCTTTGTCTTTGATTTTTCAGAATTTGATTAAACATTGCTTTGGTGAATATTTATTTTTAGTGTATATGGCATTCTTTGAGATTCACAGATTGAGCTTTCACTTATCTCAAGATTTATGGAGTTTTCTTTCCTTTTTTGTGGGGGCAGAACTGGGTTTTGAATTCAGGGTCTCATGCTTACTAGGCAACAGCCCTACCACTTGAGTCATACCCCTACCACGTGAGTCATATCCCCAGCTTTCTTTAGTTATTTTTTGATATAAGATTTCTGACCTTTTTATTCTTTCTGTTCCTTGTTGAACTATTATAATATACATATTCATTTTCTTGGTAGTATCCCACAAGTCCCACAAGTATTAAACTTTTAAAAAATTCTTTCTCTTTCATTCTTTTGGTTAATTTTAAATTGTGTATCTGCAAGCTCACTGATTCTTTCTTCTGCTTGACCAAGTCCACTGTTGAAGCTCTCTATGGAATCTTTCAGTTCAGTCATTTTGTTCTTTAGCACCAGAATTTGTTTAGTTTTTTTCATGGCTTCTATTTCTTTGTTGAACTTCTCACTTTGTTCCTTTATTGTTTACATAGTATCACTTAGTTATCATTATGTATTATCTTACAGCTCTCTTTTTTTGTTATTGTTGTTGGGACTGGGGTTTGAACTCAGGGCTTCAAGCTTGCAAAGCTCTACCAGTTGAGCCATACCTCCATTCCATTTTGCTTGGTTATTTTGGTTATTTGCCCTAGCTGGCCTTGAACCATGATCCTTCCAGTCTTAGCCTTTCAAATTCTTAGGATTACAGGCATAAGCCACTGGCACCTGGCCCTCAGCTTTCTTAACATGATTATTTTCAGCCTAGTGTGGTAGTACATGCCTGCAATCCTAGCACTTGGGAGGTGAAGACAGGAGGATCATGAGTTAAGACTAGTCTGGGTTACACAGCCAAACCTTATTTGAAATGACCCTTGTAGATCTTAGAAACACAATCTAGACCCAAGTCTTTATCTCTAAGGAAAAAGTTTAGAACTATTACCTTCCAGCTCTCAACTCTAGAAAATGTGGTTGCTTCAGACTTTCTGTGTTAGCGTCCGTGTTTTTGTTTTTTAACTGTGTCCTTCTGGAATTTTTCAATGGACTGCAAACATTTCTGTTTCACTTTGTCATGATTTTCTTCATAGAGCATTGTTTGTTGTTAATTAGAAAGACTTTTTATGGAAATATGCTGGTTTTTCTTACAGACTGATGAACCAGTGGTTGGGGATGTAGCTCAGTGGTCAAGAATTTGCCTAGCATTCATGAGGCCCTGGGTTCGATACCTAGTACCTCAACAAACATACAAACAGATGGAAGAACCATATACTTTTCATAGGGATGATTTTTAACATGAGTATTTTTGTAAATGCAGTTCAAATTGGCTAGGCAATCAAAACTTTAAAAATAAGTCTTGCAAAAAATATGCTTCATTAATTGTTAGTATAGCAGAAATTTAACTTCAAAAACCAGTGGAATTCATTTTCTAAAAGGAGAGAATTAGTTCAACAAACATTTGTCTTACATTTGTTTTCCTTCCAAATTTGAAATTGTGAATTAAACAATAGTACAGAAAATTGATCCATTGATAAGATCAGTCTCAGGCAGAGTTATGCATTAGGGACGTTTTTATTTGGCAATGTCTCTATGTCTCCTTAAGTGTTTGTTTTTTGTTGGCAATAAGTTCCTTTTCCCATTACCTTTCAGGCAAGGGTTTACTTCCCAATTCTATCTCTCTTCATTTCGAAGCTTACCTTTGCCTATTAGACAGTTATAATAATATAAAGTTTTTAATTATACCTTAATGTACTATTGATAACTTTATACTTTTTGTAAGTTCTGCAGATTAATATTTTTTTTGTTTTTTCAGCAGGAGGGAATAACTCAGAGCCCCGTGCTTGCTAGGCAAGCCCTATACCACGTGAGCCACATCCCCTGGTCTTTTTTGTACCAGGCTGCCTTGGACCACAGTTCTTCTATCTTTGCCTTTTGAGTAACTGGAATTACAGGTTTAAACTACACTATACCCAGCCCAGAAGACCAATATACTTAAATTTAAATTCAGAGAAATTAAAAGTAGATGGAGGAATTAGAGGTACCACGAAATGTATACTTCTGTACAGACAGAAATTTTGCAAACATTTTTCAAATCACATCTACTTACTTTTGTGTAATAACTATTCTGCTAATATTAAACACATTGAATTCATAATATTAATGGTTCACTTGTTATTTGAAAAATGAATTCATTCATTATTAGAGTAGTTTACAATTCTAAAGTAATTTAATGTGCATTTCTCATGTTACTATCTCAATAACCATATGAGGAGAAGCACACAGTTACTTTTTTTTTTGCAAATGAGAGAACTGAGCCTCAGTGAGGTTACTAGATTTGTTCAAAGTGGCCAAACCAATATGTGGTAAAAACAGGAAGAGCTGTCAATGTCTCTGGATTCTAGACTGATGATTAATCCCTCATTGTTAGTTAAGATACTTGAGTGATTGAAAATTGATCCAAAATCATTCCCTGTTTTATGCACATATACATTAAGCATCTGTAATATGCTTTAATTCATAGGAGATGTAGTCACAGACAAGGCTGCTCAGAAGGAGATCTCAGACTAATCAGGAAGGTTAAGACATCTAAACAGATTCCTGTAAAAAGTGCCTCAGATGAGGAAGAGATAAAACACAGAAAGAATCTAGAGAATGGTTCGGTAGCTAAAAATAGAACATTGTAGTCTTGGCACTGGAGTATGC